AGTCAATAGCCTCATCAAAACAGTTTTGGGATACAATGCATTTGGGTTCTCATTGGACATTAAAGTTACCAGACTTAGATATGCAATCAAGGTTCCAGAACAAGGGAGAGTGGTTGACATGTTTTTGCGGCCATTCTGAAGCTTAGGAACGAGAACCCAGAAGCACCCCACCAAAAAGAGAGGTCCTGCTACCAAAAAGGACAACCCAACAATTTGCCCACTTTCACAACCATAACCCCGCACCAAAATCCAGATGATCTATATAACCACGGACACCAAAAGTCCTAACCCCGCACTTCATCCTTCCCAACCATCCGCTATATAAAAATATGCATTTTTTCAAGTAGGTCTGAATCGACACTTGGTGGTCCTAATAGCTCACGAACTTGGAAATCCCCCTCTCTTTGCTAAACATGTCCACCCTACTTTTTTTTGCACATTCAGGCACAGCCGGGCACCTTCTGGACACGCAAAACATGCCACCTGGGGTTGGGCAAGTGAACCACGAGATGCTCAATTCATCTTAATTCCCCTGTAGGAGATTCACTTGATAAAGATTTCCCTGGGTACAGCTAAAACCCATCATCTGAGGTTGGGAAATCAAACAGTCGGCCATGGTGAAGCCTGAGATGCTCAATTCATCTCAATTCTCCTGTAGGAGATTCACTTGATAAAGATTTCCCTGGGTACAGCTAAAACCCATCATCTGAGGTTGGGAAATCAAACAGTCGGCCATGGTGAAGCCTTAGATGCTCAATTCATCTCAATTCTCCTGTAGGAGATTCACTTGATAAAGATTTCCCTGGGTACAGCTAAAACCCATCATCTGAGGTTGGGAAATCAAACAGTCGGCCATGGTGAAGCCTGAGATGCTCAATTCATCTCAATTCTCCTGTAGGAGATTCACTTGATAAAGATTTCCCTGGGTACAGCTAAAAACCATCATCCGAGGTTGGGGCATGAAACAGTCGGCCATGGTGAAGCCTGAGATGCTCAATTCATCTCAATTCTCCTGTAGGAGATTCACTTGATAAAGATTTCCCTGGGTACAGCTAATAACCATCATCTGAGGTTGGGGCATGAAACAGTCTCTCTGGGTACAGCTAAAAACCATCATCTGAGGTTGGGAAATCAAACAGTCGGCCATGGTGAAGCCTGAGATGCTCAATTCATCTCAATTCTCCTGTAGGAGATTCACTTGATAAAGATTTCCCTGGGTACAGCTAAAACCCATCATCTGAGGTTGGGAAATCAAACAGTCGGCCATGGTGAAGCCTGAGATGCTCAATTCATCTCAATTCTCCTGTAGGAGATTCACTTGATAAAGATTTCCCTGGGTACAGCTAAAACCCATCATCTGAGGTTGGGAAATCAAACAGTCGGCCATGGTGAAGCCTGAGATGCTCAATTCATCTCAATTCTCCTGTAGGAGATTCACTTGATAAAGATTTCCCTGGGTACAGCTAAAACCCTTCATCTGAGGTTGGGAAATCAAACAGTCGGCCATGGTGAAGCCTGAGATGCTCAATTCATCTCAATTCTCCTGTAGGAGATTCACTTGATAAAGATTTCCCTGGGTACAGCTAAAAACCATCATCTGAGGTTGGGGCATGAAACAGTCGGCCATGGTGAAGCCTGAGATGCTCAATTCATCTCAATTCTCCTGTAGGAGATTCACTTGATAAAGATTTCCCTGGGTACAGCTAAAAACCATCATCTGAGGTTGGGGCATGAAACGGTCGGCCATGGATTTCCTGGGGACCGCTCAGGCCCAGTGTCATAGCACTCATGACTATCATGGTGCAACACCATTCGCTCGCAGATCCACATGATTTATTATTTCTGGATTTACGTGTTCTCCAAGGTCAAGGGAATGCACCTAGAAAAAAAGGGATAAAAAAGACAGATCATCACCCGAAGAGAAACTAAAGTCATGCCCTGAACCCCAATCAGTCACTCCAGTCAGTCCTCCAAGTCTCTCATCATGTGGCGGCCAAGGGAACTGGTTGAGATCAAATGATCAAAAGGCGGAAGGCGGGCGACCCTGGAAAAAATGGAAAAAAATAAAAAATGTCCGAAAGGAACGGCCAGTATATGTATAACAATAGTCGTCTGGTGCCAGGGGGGTGGAACCCCTAAAAAAATATAATAAAATGCAGGGGCCTAAGGACAAAATGCCAATAAATGAAAGGGCATAAGGTAAGATAGGAAAACCCAAGCAAAATACAATGGACAGGTACAAAAAGAATATGACGTCAGGCACCCTCCACCTGGCAACTGTTGGACCTCGGGCTCCGGCATTTTCTTTTGGGTTGATCTTGTTTAGTCGTGTTTCCTTATTTAATTGGCTTGAATCATCTTTGAAGGAAAACCCCCCAAAATGGCAAGACCCAACCTCATATATCCCAGCATCTGCGAAGTAAATGTCATCTTCTGTCACGTGCCAACAGGAAGGAAAAATCGTGCGGATTTCGATCAATATATATATATATATTATGTATAATTGGTTCCAATTCTGACATCTGGATGGTTTCTAGAAAACATACAAATAAATAAATATAAATAAACTGAAGAAATCTCATTGGCTGCTGTAAGCTGCCTGTGTGTCTTTTGTTGGCCAAGGAAGGCAATAGAAAATGAGGGGGGCCAACCCATTTTCGAAGTTAATGTCCAAGTAATTCCAAATCTCTGGAACGTTTCACAAAATGACGAGACCCTTCACAGCTGTGCATCTTTGCTATCATGCTATCTCTGTCAGTTATTAACTTGATGGGTTGGGCACCTCAAAAAATAAAATGCACCCACAAAATAAAATGCTGGGGTCTGACCCCATTTTATTCTCAGTTTGTTTTTATTATTCTTAATTTTAAAAGGGGCTCCTGCCCCCTCATTCTCTTTAGGTACACCGCAAGTCTTTTGTAACATGAAAGAGAGATAGAAAGAGAGAGAGAGAGAGAAAGAAAGAAAGAAAGAAAGAAAGCTGGAAAGAAAAAAGAAAGGCAGAAAGAAACGGATGCCCTTTTATCCATCTAGTTTCGTAATCACCTACCAGTATCGGATTCAAGCCATTCCGCATGTCAAAAACATTCAAAAACCATCAAATTATATATCCTTATATATCCCCCTAACCACTGACCAACCTGTATAAATCTATGTCATCATCCTGGTAGTCACCGACACGTCAGTTCAGGGATAACCCCTCCACCCCCTCCCCCCCAAAAAAATTCCCGACCCGAACCTTTCATACCCAAACATCTAGCTGGGTAGTAAGTGTTCCCATTTACGCAAAGATTCCGGTATGAAAATACCCTTCACGAGTTTATATGTTTTCTCGTTAAATCATGTTCAATCCCTCTTCGGGTCAATATCAACCCAGCAAAATCCCAATGTATACGCACTTTTCCCGGTGAATTCACTTTAACACATGATGTTGATCAACCCAAGCTGTACCCAGATTTAACCGAGGCACTTGGCCAATCCTGCCTCGCAACAGCCTGCAGCACCAGCCACGCTGCTCTCCTGGACGTCGAACGACGTCCGAAAAACTTAGGGATCGACCGCAGCCCTGAAGTCCCTTTTTTGGGGGCTGATGTCTTTATGAATTATGGGGTAGGCAGTGATCATCTGATACCAAAAATGGTACTCCACCAATTCAACAGCCCCAGCTCCGGGGGTCAACATTCATCGTGGTGGAGCCACTCATCCCAGATGTGTTTTTGCGCAGTATCAAAGCATAATTTTGTTCATAGATTCTTGATGGTCACTTGATGGTCAATCATTTTGAGCCATACTGAATATGATATGATATGATATTATATTATAGTGCACTATATTACACTATATAAAAATTACGTTGAATTATATTATTACACTAGGTTACAATATGTTATGTTTATTGCATTGTATTATATTACATTAGGTTACATTATATCACATTAAATCAAATTATATTGTATTGTATTGAATTACAGTGTATCATCTTATGTTACATTATATTATGTTGTATTATATTATATTTTATTTTACTATATACATATACATATACATATACATGTACATATACATATACATATGTATATATATATATATATCCAAACAATTCCAAACATATCATATGTAGATATGTCCATCCCCAAGAATAGCAAATCTAGTCAGTGCCCCGAGCTTCCTCTGATTCGGCTTGTTCAGCCTGCAAGTGCTGGAGATGTTGGATGTCAGGGCCCAGCAGTATGTTCAAAAATCATTGCATCAACAGCATTCACAAGCAAGACAACAATTAATGTTAGATACACACCCCCCAAAAAGAAGTTTTGTATTGGGATGTATTGGGTCTGTTCATGTTTACATATTCATTTTGGGAGGCCTGACCAGGAGGTATTTAAATAATAGGTGGGTGGGATTGTCCAGATTTGTCCAGCGGAATCTGAGGAGCGCCTGCAGCTGCGTCTCTAAACAAACAACTCGCTCTCTGAGAGTTTGCCTTGGCTGACTATCCCTTGACAGGGTCAACAGCCTGGCGTCCCTAGAGGCCCTAGGAGCTGTGAGCCGGGGGACTTGTGAAAGCGAAAAAGTGCTGATTTCGACGTGTTTCATCATCTTGTGATGAAGTGACTTCTTTTCAATCTTTTCATACTCATCCCCTCACAAGAATTGGAGGGTTGCAAATCACAACATCTCACAACGGATCAAACAAGAGAAACTGCAACTTTCAAAGCTGGAAGCAGCCTGGAACCACAGCCTCAAAACGGCTTCCTGAGGCCCCGCACATCTCCTGTCGCATGGCACCCATACGCAGCACAGCCTGTAGCAGCTTGAACCTATCCTCAAATATCTCATCAGGCCGCATGCACCGAGGCTCCAAAAGAAATCAGAACCGAACAGACTTTCAATCCCGAGCACCTCCACTGCGTTGAAATTGTATGGATAAAATGGCCTTCATTGATTCACCATGATTCTTCGGCGGGACCCCTCACCATCCTCACCATCCTCACCATCCTCGCCTCCTCCAACTTCTCCAACCTCTCCAAGTGTGAAGGGTCCACCATGGCCATGTTCCCTTCAGGTCGTTCAGCAGCTTTCACGAAAGACATGGCGATGACTAAAATCAGCCGCACTGAAGGCCAGGCGGAGACTAGGCCCCTTGTGAGCTGCCCCCGGCTGTACCATTGACAGCTCTGAGCCAAATGTTTGGTCGCCTGGTGAATGGTTGAGTGCGGCAGGAAGGGAATGTTTCGGGTTGTGAAGTTGCCTCATTATTCAGTTCTGGAGTGTCTCTTGGCTCTGTGGATGCTGTATATAGTTTATTAGACTTGGCGGAAAGAACATTCTTGTCAACAGCAAGAACAACACAATAGACTGCAGGAAGCAGCAACCCCGACCACACAAACCAACACCACAAAACCATACCACAAAGAAGACGAACAATTTGTCACAAATAGATGTAAATACATCAGATGTAATATATTGTAAATACATCCTTTTGGCATATCCTTTGGCAATTCGCTCCTGGGAAATCCAGGTGTCTGAAGTCTGGTGTATTTCTATAGCTGGAAATCGTTACCGTCATCACGCCCCGACCTGGGATGGCAGCACCGGAGAGGCCGATGGCCTCAATCCATGAGATGAGACTAGAGATGACTCAGATTTGATGAGATTATGAGATTTGATGAAATTTGATGAGATTTGATGAGATTAGATGAGATTGAATATGATTAGATTTGACGAGATGACTATTGGATAAATAAGGTATGATAATGTGGCAAACTCCATGAACCATCCCCAAGTCATCACCATAAATGATAATGGCTGGGATCTCAAACCATCCCCAAATGGTAGATATGGTAATTGTTTATGGCGGGGTTTACCCCATTATTCTGAATAAAGGATCTCTTGCACACAAGAGAACACGCATGACATCGCAATACTCACACAAATCATCAATCACATCAATCTCCAGTGAATGCAAACAATATTGATGATATATCTATTACAATAATATATATATATATTGATATATCATATTGGAAGCCGCCCATGCTTCAAGCTTCCTAATCTCACTAAAAATGTTTCAGATCGCACTGAACTTCACTGCTGGCCCCGGCTTCAAGCTCATCGTAGAGGACCAGCAATAACCTGCTTTTGGGGCACGGGAAGTCTCCCTGTCTCCCTTCATCCCTTAGTGGTGCTACATGGTGCTACATGCAGGCAGGGAATGGAATGGTTGTGAAAAACTGTGAAAATAGTTCTAGATTGGATCATCCTTACCCATATAAATCAACCATTATTGCGGAATATTAGCCATATATAACCCATATTAAACCCATGTTTCTGGGCTATGTTCAATTGGGATGTATGAAAAAATCCATTGGACTCAGCACCGGTAAGTCGTTTCCCCAAGATCAGCCCCAGTCAATCGGATCCCAGCGGCGGCTGCGGATCCGTCTTGATGTACTCGACTTGGGTCGCGACGGTATCACCTCACAGCGCCAAGGGCCGGTGCCCAAACCCCATACACACCTCTCTTCAATTGCATATGTAGAGAGAGAGAGAGATATGTATATATTATATATATATTATATATAATTATATATGTTATATATATATACATATTATACTAAGTAAATTTTACATATCAATAACGTGAGTACAAACAGTATACGACCAATATAATGATACAGCACAACATTCCAGCTGCTAAGGAGAGCCCAATGATCCCAATACATCCCAGCGACGCACCAGGTTCGTTCGCGCCGTGATGGCCACCACCAGATGGATCGCATCGGAAGCGCCGGGCCAAACGATCTCCGGTTCTGTCCTGGGCGCAGCGAACACGACCACCCTGGTGGCAGAACCATCCCAAACTCAAGTTATAACCCATCTATAACTGGGATAACCCCACTGAATGGGGACTTGCTAACTAGGTGGGACCGGGATGATCCAAGCAAGGTCCGCACCTGCCACCTCTCTCCCGGCAGGGCACGTGGTGACCACCGCTGTAGTCCCCGCGGCCGTGGTGGTGTCGCTCGAAGGGATGCAAAGCTCGCAGGTGGCACGACACCCCACAATGACCTCAGCTGGCTCGCATGGTGGGGCTATGTTTGCTCAAATGGGCCCGTCCCAAATCTATCCAAAACCCAGAACTGGTTTTCGTTGTTTTTGGGGCTCTTTTTACAGGAAAGCAATTGTGTTTGATGGCAAGAAATTATGGAATCCTGCAATTCCTACCCCTGAAGCCAATCCAATGAAAATGGATGTGAGCCAAGACATATGTCAATGAATTGTTCTTAGCACCCCCAAATTGTATCAAATTCTAACTATCATTACCCATACCCCAAATCATACCCAAACACTTTCTGCGGCATATCTTGCTGGAAGCTTCGAACATGTTTCATTTACACCCTATTTGGGGATGATTATCCCAATTGATATTCGCCTGGTAAAACCTGCAACCAAATGCCGTATCTGTTGGGCACATGTTGAAATTTCCCCTCAGCGCGATATACGGGAAAAATGTGTGGGAAACCATGGGAAACCACTAGAATGAGGTGGTAAAAACCAAAGGGAATCCTGAAAATTTCCCATGACCAACCCATTGAAGTTGAAACCCACCTTGAAGCAGCCACGCGTCTCCCTTTTCGGTCCTCGCAACTGTCTGTCGCGGCGCGTCTCGGCAGAACTGTCATCTATGTTGCTGGATCGTTCGGACCCGACGTGCCACCGGGGCAGAAAATGGCCAAAGACGAACCTCAACATGTACAGTAAGTCTTCAATGTGTACACCCAAAATGTCTCTCTTTCTGTGCCCCTGCATGTTCGCATCATAATCATCATAATCATCATATTTTATACATCAAGAGGGGTCCGATATATGCTACGGTCATCGCAAATCTCGGATAATCCCCGGAGGCATGGGGGGGACCTCACCTTCAGAGGGGCCGATGTGGAGAATCTCCAGCTCGAATGGGGCACTTGTCATGAATCATGTAATTACGATGAATCCTGCAGAAAATGGATATATGATCAGCATATGAATGCAAATGATGGATATACAATGATATAACTATAATATAGCACATACAATATATATATATATACATACATATATAAATAAATATATATATATATACATACATATATGTATATATATATATATATACATATATGCATACATATAAATATATATATATATACATATATATATACATATATATACATATATATATATATACATATATATATATATATATACATATATATATACATATATATATACATATATATATACATATATATATATATATATACATATATATATATACATATATATATATATAGAATATATATATACATATATATATAATTATATCATTATTATTATAAAACATGACATGACAATGCACTTCCGTAAAATGAAAATAGTTTCACTTTGATCCAATTTCTAGCAGCAGAAGACACCCCAATCGCAGCGGCCCGTCCGCCCGCAGCGTGGCTCAAACCATTTCCAGGACGGGGAGCAATTTAGCGATGTCCTGGGGCAGCTGGCAACCGGAAGGTGCTTGGAACTTATGATTTGCAGAATTCAGAATAGACAATTTGTAATTAACATTCAGGAACTATAACCATCAATGATTTTATTGGTGTCATTAACTATATGTATAAGGTTTATAAGGTTATGATAGTTGTTCAATTTTCTTTTGTGTCGAGAATGGAGGGTTTCCCATGGTTTCCCTTCATTGCAGTGATCAGTGGCTATGGGCCACAAAATTCAACCCTCCATCCTCCACAAATGAAAAATAACCCTCTGAGGGTCATGCCCATGGCAAGCGAGCGATAACGCTAGTGACAGTTAGTGAAGAAATCCCCTGCAAATGGGGCTGTTTTGAATTGTAGAATGGATTAAATTGGAGTATAACCAGCTACTTGCCAGATATAACATGTTAGTTATAACCTCAAATTTTTACATCCCATGTTTCTGCGCAGCGATTCCAAAAAAAAAATGAAATTATTTTACCATCATTCTATTAGGACTTGACTTGTACATCGTTTTGGGGGGTCCTCAAAAAAAAACACGTAGAAACTACTTTCCACTTGCGATCGGAGGGCTGATCCTCCAAGGAACATGTGTTCGTTACATGGCTATCATATAGGTCTTGGTATGTCTTGGCAAATTCTACCAGTAGTACCGCGCAAGGCGGTGGCGGAAGTTTCAAAGATAGGAAACTATAGGAGAGATTGGTTGTTGTGAAGCACGGATGGCAGAGCGAATCCACTGATGGACCGAAAGGTGGTTGGAGTTGTGTTTTTTTGGAATGGTTGCAATGGTTGCAGTGGTCACCTCACCACAACTGCTGGATGTAGTGTGGTGTAATGCGGTGTATGCAGGTGTAGCTGCAGTTGTAGTGTAGCGTAGTGGAGTTGTAGCTGTAATGTAGTGTAATTGGCGTAATGATGTGTAGTGTAGTTGCAGTTGCCGTTGCAGTTGTAATTGCGGTGTGGTGTAGTTAGTGTAATGTAGTGTAGTGTACTGTAGTGTAGTGTACTGTAGTGTAGTGTAAAGTAGTGTAAAGTAGCGTAAAGTAGTGTAAAGTAGTGTAGTTGTAGTTGTAGCGTAGTGTAGTGCAATGTAGTTGCAGCTGTAGTTGTAGTGTGTGTAGTGTAGTGCAGCGTAATGCAGTTGCAGTTGTAGTTGTAGTTAAATGTATGTTAATACGTGTAGCGTAGTGTTGTGTAACCTAATGCAATTGTAATTGTAATTGTAGCTGCGGTGGTGGTGGTGCTGGTGGTAGTAATGGTAGTAGTGGTAGTAGTGGTAGTAGTGGTAGTACTGGTAGTACTGGTAGTAGTGGTAGTAGTGGTAGTAGTGGTAGTAGTGGTAGTAATGGTAGTAGTGGTAGTAGTGGTAGTAGTGGTAGTAGTGGTAGTAGTGGTAGTAGTAGTGGTAGTAGTAGTGGTAGTAGTAGTGGTAGTAGTAGTGGTAGTAGTAGTGGTAGTAGTAGTGGTAGTAGTAGTGGTAGCAGTAGCAGTAGCAGTAGCAGTAGCAGTAGCAGTAGTAGTAGTACTAGCAGCAGTAGTAGTAGTAGTAGTGGTAGTAGTGGTGGTAGTAGTAGTAGTACTAGTAGTAGTAGCAGCAGTAGTAGTAGTAGTAGTCTTAGTAGTAGCAGTAGTAGTAGTAGCAGTAGAAGAAGTAGTAGAAGTTG